AATAAAGGAGTCCAGAAAGGAAGGTATGTTACGTATTTCTGCAAAAAGTTTTGGATAAATTTATGCGTAGAGCTATTATAGTACTCATCTACCTTTTGTTTACTACCGAATTCCAATAATATCTGACTTTCATAATCGGCTTTACACTTTATGTAAAACGGGCTAGAGTTGTAAATTGTCTTTCGTTTCGCAGTTTCTTCATCCGATTTACATTTATAAAATCTATCCATGTCGACTTTAGGGTGACACTTTTCGTCTTTGCCATAATTTTCCACATCATTAAAACATTGAATCTGCTTTTGTAGCTTTTCATATTGTTGACATCTTTTTTCTGGACATTTAGTAATGAGAAAACTCCAGACATTCATAAATAATTCGTTTATTTCATCCAAATCATTAAAATTAAAGGCTTGGCAGAGAGCAATTTTGCAAATCTGTTTATTTGAAACTAATTCTACTGGAAAATATTTTTCCAAATCGTTAAACATACATTTTACTACATGAGAGGTACATAATTTTAATATTACTTTCTCACAGTCAAAGTTTGGATTCTTCTTTTTCAATATAATCCAATTAGCAGAATGTTGAAGGTACTGTATAACCGACATTCCATTACATGCTTCTATGATACTGCCGACAAGAGCCATTGAAAAATCTGTGGTGATAGTTCTGATTACTCTGTTCAGCTTATCAATACCACAATTAACTCGCATAAATCTTATTATTCTATATAAATTATTTGATAGATTTCCTAAGTGATGATCGTTTGTAAAGAAAGTAGCTATAGGAAAGACCGTCATAGCACTATCTGATTTTACATTTTTGTATCTTGTAATTATACTGTAATAATGAACATTAGGTCCTTTAATTACTTTTTTCCACTTGGTAGATGTTGCATCTATGAAAACATCAAGTGGACCCTCACGTTTTGCAACATCTCGTGTATGTAAAATCTGACATTTTTTCATTAGTATAATGTTAAATGGCTTCCTATCTAATTTGAAAATAAATGTTTCTTTTTGATGTGCCATCTCTACAAGTGAATCCCAACACTCTTTGCCTTCCCTGAGCTCATAACGAGCCTCTGTAGCAATTTTCTTACAGCACTGTAAGATAAGCATTTTTGTAAATTTTTGTTAATTGTATAATTTGTACTTTTGCTAAGATCTGCATCTGCCTCTCGAATAAATTGACGGGGTCTAATGTGCAGTAGTTTATCTTTTGATTTTGCTCTAGACTGACCACGCAATTGGTTAGCCAAAGGCTCTGGATGATGGAAATTATCCATATCGTGTAAAACTTTGAAAACTATCTCACCTGATCCGGTTTTTGAGAACGTGGTGGTATAAATAAACCTTTTGCAACTTGGCTGCGAACAAACTCCATATATTTTTATTGTCCGACTTACTTTTTTTTTGGCACATAATCATCCTTGCCTTTAAAATAAACTTCGCATGTTTGGTTTGGGCAGCGTAATACGTCATGATGACTTGCATAGTTAATCTTTTCGGACATTGTTTTGAAATTTCTTCTATTAAAATGGCTTTCATTATAATTGAAAAGTTTTTTATTTTGAGGGTTCATGTAGTCTTCTAGCTGTTTTCTGGACCAAACAAACGAAATTCCAGAGTCCCAAAACTCGGATAATTTGAAATTCATTTCCCTATTGTTTCTCGTTTCTACATCAGTGTTTGTCACCTTAGCTTCCTGACTAAATGAGGAGTCAAAATCACTGGGAACTAAATTTGGAAAAGCAGAAATAGTTGATTCTGTCTTATCGTTTGAATATGTTTCTATATCTTGTTCAACTGTTGCCATATTATCGCTAAAGTTTTGTTCAATAATTTTTTTCAATTCCTTTCGCTTTATATTTGGGTTTAATAATGGCAAAAACTTTTCCGTTCTATTTTTAATATAGTTAACCGTATGTGTAGCATTATGTAAAACGTATATCCCACAGTTGAAAGAATCAAACTGGCTATCACTTTGCAGTGTGCTCACATGCCATTCACAAGATAGAATCTTTTTCGCGATTGAATTACTTTCAGAATACTTTTTCATCGACGTTAAAAAAAGATTCAATTTACTACGAGCATGTTTTTGGTAATCAGGTAAGCTTTTTGAATCCATATAATACATTGTTTTGCTCTTTAAATCTAAAACTATTAAATAAAAATGCATATTTTCGTGGCATGGAATTAGTAAAATATCTTTGTTTAGCGAATCAAAAACGAGAGACTCGTCATACACACCACCTGGAGCTGACAAAAAAGCCTTGGACTCATAAATATTTAGCACCTTAATATTATCTGTTCGTGTAATTAAAATTTGTAGACAAACTTCCAGGCAACCGCTAGTTAACATTTCTCCATGATTTAGTGAATTAATATCTTCGATCGTTAAATTTAGTGCCGGGAATTTAGAAGAGCTGAACAAAGTTACTCTTTCGTGGTTATTCAAAAATTCAATATTTTTGCACCCTACCGACATTGGATCCTTCGGACCTTTAATGGAACGTGAAGTTGAAGACCCTATGGATGTGTTTGTTGCAGTTTGTCCTGACCTAAGCAACATTGGATCTTCGACCGAAATGAAACAAGACTGAGCTGGATTCGGAATCACATAATCCGTTACTGGAAGCCCAATGTCTGAGGATAAACTAGTAACTGTCACTTTTTCCTGTGCAGTTTGACCTAATCTATCAAAAGTTTGATCCTACACCCACAAGGAGAAACAAGAAGGCTGAACGTTCAACTTGCTTCGTAGCAACAGTTTCTGATACTGGAACGCGAATGATCATGGACAGAGGGGCAGCTGAAGACACTGTTGATGTGGTTGACGGTATTTGACACGATTCGATAGGATTAGAATGCTGCTCGATGGAACAAGGAGGCTGAACAGAATGTCCCAGAATCGGAGGTACTAACACCGGACCCCAATTGTCGGAGATAGAACCAACAACCGAAGAAACTGCGGTTTGCGTTGACCGAATCGATATTGGATCCTGTCTTAAAACGGCGGAACAAGGAGGATGAATTACAGGATCCGTTACTGGAAGCCAGATGTCTGAGGATGAACTAGTAACTGATGACACTGTACATTTTTCCTGTGTCAATCTATCCACAAATTGATCCTGCACCCACGAGCAGGAAAAAGGCTGAACAGAACTTGTGTCTAGGCTCGCAGAAAAAGGTTCTGATACTGGAACTCGAATGTTCGTGAATGGACCAGCAGTCGAGGTGAAACAATTTGGATGCTGCATACATCCAACGGAACAAGGAGTCTGAACAGAATAACCCAGAATCGCAGATACCGGAACCCGAATGTCCGAGCTTGAACCATCAACCAAAGAAACTGCGGGTTTCGTTGATCGAATCGATTTTGGATCCTGTCCTAACTTGGCGGAATAAGAAGATTGAACCTAGTGTAACGGGTTTGAAAGTACAGGTCGTGATGCTAGAATACCGATTTTTGAGGATGAAACAGCAGCTGAATACACCGCTGTTGTATTTGTTACAGTTTGACCTGACCTGACGTATATTGGTCCCAGCGTATGCGTGGAGGACAAAGGAGGCCGAGCGGAATGAGTCAAATGATTCGAGATTACAGGCTCCGATACTGGAACCTGAATGCCTGAGAAAGAACCAACAGATGAAGGACATGTCGATGCATCTGGTGCAGTCTGACTAAATTCGACGGTAGAACTCTGCATGGCAAAATGAGGCGGTTGAAAAAAGTTCATCACTGGGTATGGAATCATCGGGCCCCATACTGGAACCCAAACACCCGGAAGCGAAACGGCAGATGAGTATACTGTTGGTGTGTTTGGAGTGAGTGAGTTTGGAATAACAGGTGTTGGGGGAAAATAAGGAAGGTAGCCTGCGGGAGGGACCCATACCTGCACGGGAGAAATACATACCGGGATATACAGCGGATATGTTGCTAAATATCCTCCACTGTAAGGACTACTAAAATTCATTGTTATTACTTACGATTTGATTTGAATGTGATAATATCACTTGTAAAAATAGCACTTTATTCTTTCAAAATTGCACCACTTGATTTGCACACCGTATTAATTGTTGAATGAAAATGAATGGTTGAGCTGGAATGAAAACACAAGAATAAAAGCAGAGATGAAAGCATACAGCAGGGTAGCCAGAATCTTTTCTGAATTTTTTTAAATGTTTTATCGGTCGGTTGGTGAAAAAGAGAAAATCGATTAAGAGAATCGATCATCGCAGTTAGGCCCTTATGATTCTGAACACTAGACCTCGTTGGATATTCATATGATGTGATATTGTATTCTATAAATCTATCTGGTCAGTAATACCAAAACTTGTTTATTTTAACAAGCACAACTGAAAGCTATCGGTTGTACCAGGCTGCGTCTATAAGTGAGAGTTTTGGTTAGAGAAGCAAAAATATTGTGGCTCTCAGTAGAGCTGCAGCTTCGTAACACGCATTATTAATCAATCGTTTCTCCAACTTCGGTACGATCTTTACCTAGCTCAAGATATCTGCGGATAGCATCATGTAAGAAAACGTTGGTGTACTTCGTGTAATATATTTCTGGATTGAATTTGCGTATGACACACTAAAGGAAGTTGTACTGCGCGTCGATTTATTTGATGCGTACTGTGCGCAATCTTTAATTCCTGTTAAAAATGATACTACCAAAAATAAAAATACACATCCCGATAGGCATTTCTCGCACATAATTATTATAGTACACTTGAAAACCGAACCGACTTATCCGCGGGTGAAGCAATCGATAATGGAAATGCGTCTGGATCAAAAACTGGATCATATAGCTGTTTCGTCTTCGCTTAGGATCTGGCCACCCTGCTGTAGGCTCGATTTCATAAAAAAATCTAGTAGGAAAAAAGCTTGCAAAAGCTTTTAATGATTATCTTTTTCACAATCAGGTGGCGCTAAGTGCAGCTCGAAAAAAATTTCTTGCTCGACTTTTTTTTCCTGCTCGTTTAGCAGCAGTTTTATGTTCCAATGGTTTCAATAGTAAACTAAAGAATCTATTTCTCAGATAAAGTGAAGTTCAATGGACCAACCGCCTGATCAACTTGTGATTGTACTGCACATTTTAGATGGTGAGAATTAAGATCTGTTTCCATCAGTTTTTGACTTCACTGAACAGAATTCACTTTCAGCCATCAACTTTCACCGTTCGAAAAACACCCCGATCCTGCTCAGTGCCTCACTGGATAAAAACATCCTGGAGACAGGTGGTCGCCTTCCCAGAATTCCTTCCACCAGCTTCGAAAGCAATCTGGTATGGGAAACCGATCGTCGCTCGGTTAAATGCATGAAGACCGAAAATCTTCCCATCAAAATAGAATGCTACTCGGTCGACCATCAGTCTGCCTCTGCGGAACAACGACGATCGCTGATTGGTCATCTGGTACTACCGCTGCGGTCCGTTCCCCTGCTGGCGTCGGCCAAGGCAGACAGCGTCAAGTCTCGCTGGTACCGGGTGATAGGGCTGTCCACGCCGGAATGGAAGAATCAAAAACCGGAAGTGCAACTAGCGGTCTTCATTACCGATAAGGAATATTTAAATCCCCGTAGGAAGAAGAATGTGGAAGGTGATATGGATCAGGAGACGGATCGAAGTTTGGTGATTTTTACCAATCCCGAACCCTCGCGGTTGGGGTCCGGCGAGGGGCTTCCCGTAGAACTGTTAGAAGAACGGGGCGTGCTACAAGTGGGACAGCACGATCAGGAGTGCGATATATTTTTGGTAAAGATTGTACTGAAGTATGCCAAACAGCTGCGGAGGTTGCTTCCGGAAGGAGGGGAGAAAGCACTGCCGGGTGGATTCCAGATGCGGTACGATCTATTTGGAGACAATTATCCTTGCGCACTGGAAAGGAAACCGAATGAGACGTTTTACATTCAGGAAAAGATTGTCATCAACTTTAGAACTTCGTTACATTCGTTGAAAAGATACTTCCAGGAGATATTTCTCGTTCGATTGGAAGTGCTTTACGAAGAGAAGGTGATAGGTAAATAAGTTGCTCGTTAATTGATTTCGATCAGAAGTTAACATCGGTTCTATTGTTTTAGGTCGTTGCTATTTCCGCTTCGGAAGTTTGATACAAGACGAATCACTGGCGGAATTTCTATCCAAGTACCGTGAGAATTCTTCCGCTCAGGATGTTGAAAAGTATTACCCAATCGAGCCGGCAACTGTCAAATACGACGACAAACGAGATCCAGATGAAGTTTCCGATCCGTCTTCCACGGCGCTACCAGTCGTAAAATGCAAATTCAGTCTAAAGTATCTCTCTTCCGATCGCCAAACCCTTCCAGAACTCATTAGGAAGAGTCTCGATTCCATACCGGAAAAGGATTCTTCACAATCGAATCTTCCTCTGGTAGAAATGCCGGAAGCTTCCTCCATTCCATCGATTAATCTCAACCCAGTTCGCTCACTTCGTCGGCCACCATCGGCTCCGCCGGAGAAAACTGACATCGAATCGATCCTGCAATGCGAGGACCGAGACCTCAGAGACATTCCACGCACCTTCAGCTACAACCTGCTGCTTCAAAGCATCAAGTTCAATCAGCGTCCTCCCCCGGGACTCTGGCAAATGTCTTTATACCATCCGAGAGCGGACACGCCACTGACGAAAACCACCATGGAACTGAACGCAATCGAATCGGAAACGCTGCAGCTGTCCAATCTCCAGCTGCAGCTATTTTTCTCGTCCCTCCCGGATCGGGTGCTGGAATCGATCACTGCCGAAAGTTCCAAGCTAAGCCTACACGGTCCGCATGGGTTGTTCGGATTCGCACGGTTGGATAACCAGAGCTTGGTCGTTGGAACCAAGGAGAAGCAGTCGGGGGTGCTGATATTGGAGAACCAAAATGGGGAGAGTATCGGAATGGCGACGGTGTTTAGCTTCTTGGACGAAGTGGGGATTAATTACAACAGCAGGGATCCTACGGGAGGACCGGAAGTGGTCGTTGGGAGCGGAAATGCGAGGGGACAGTTGGATATTCAGCTTTCGTACAAAATGTTGGAGGAGCAGAAACAGTGGATGATGCAACAGAGAGAGCAATTTTTGGATGTGTTGAAACAGAAGGAGGTAGCTCACTTGACGAGGCTGACGAATGAGTGGAAGCGGAAACAGATGAAGGAGAAAGCGGTAAGTAATTCATTTTCCCGAGAAAAATCAGCCAAATTTAATTTCTACTTTCTGCCCCCGTTCAGGAACTGATGGAACGCTTGAAAAACACATCTGCCCTGACTGCTGCCCTAGAGGAAACCAAGAAGAGCCTAACACTTCAGACTGCACAACGTGCAGACCAAGAAAAATCCGTGGAAGAGCTGCGAACGAAGCTGGAGTTGTCCTACCAGGAGCAACTGACCGAGATTCGCCAAAAGACGATCCGTTTGGAAGAGGATCTCAATCACAGGGCCAAACTGCAGAGCTTCCGCTGCCAGGAACTGGAAGACAGAAACGGCTCGCTGTCGCGGGACAACGATCAACTGAGACGTGCCTACGAGAGGCTAGAAGGAGAACTTTCCGATTCGAAAGGTAAACTTCGGGAATGTGATGGTCTGAGGAAGGAGCTGGAGCAGCGGTTTCAGGAAATGGAAAAATCTAAAATGTTCTACAAACAGCAGTGGGCCAAAATGATTCGGGAAGTCCACAAGATGAAGCTGGAAAACGAGCAGCAACTGGGTGATGTGCTGCAAGGGAAAGATCCCAGGAAGAAGACATTCCGGTGGGATGATGACCGGTCGGAAGGGTGCTGTGATGCGACTTCGTCGGCGAAAGAACGGGACGAGCTGGAGAAGATCGATCGGATGCTTTTCGAGGAACGGAGAAGGCAGCAGCAACATCATGAGTGCTGTCCGTCGGATCATTGTTGCTGACCGTATACTGGAACATTCTACACTGCCACAATTGTACAAAGACTGTTATTTATTTTAGGTGATAGTAACCATTACAAGATTAATATATTTGTCACAAATTTTACAAAATTTAAATAAAATTTACTCGATTTTCTCCAGAATTAATCAGCATGGTCAATGAGATCAACCCAGTTTACTCATAAACAGCAAAAAGTGTAGGAACTCAGCGATGAGTAAATTTGCCTCATGTTTTTTCCAGGAAAAAAAATCCCGAATATGAGAAAACTAGAGATTGGATTCTCCCAGAAAATTTTCCTCATTTTCCGGCAAATTTTAGAAACACAGATCACAGTTCCAACAAAAAAAGTTCACAGAACACTTTCGAGAAGTTCACAGAACACTGCTTAGATGTTCACAGAACACTTTCGAGAAGTTCACAGAAAACTTTGAGAAGTTCACAGAACACATCGAGAAGTTCGCAAAAACACTTTCGAGAAGTTCATAGAACACTTCGAGAAGTTCACAGAACACTTTCGAGAAGTTCACAGAATACTTCCGGGAAGTTCACAAAAACACTTTCGAGAAGTTCACAAAAACACTTCCTAGATGCTCTCAGAAAACTTTCCAGAAGTTCAAAAAACACTTCGAGAAGTTCACAGAACACTTCCGAGAAGTTCACAGAACACTTCCGAAAAGTTCACAGAACACTTTCGAGAGATTCACAGAACACTTCGATAAGTTCACAGAACACTTCCGAGAAGTTCACAGAACACTTTCGAGAAGTTCACAGAATACTTCCGGGAAGTTCACAAAAACACTTTCGAGAAGTTCACAAAAACACTTCCTAGATGCTCTCAGAAAACTTTCCAGAAGTTCAAAAAACACTTCGAGAAGTTCACAGAACACTTCCGAGAAGTTCACAGAACACTTCCGAAAAGTTCACAGAACACTTTCGAGAGATTCACAGAACACTTCGATAAGTTCACAGAACACTTCCGAGAAGTTCACAGAACACTTTCGAGAAGTTCACAGAATACTTCCGGGAAGTTCACAAAAACACTTTCGAGAAGTTCACAAAAACACTTCCTAGATGCTCTCAGAAAACTTTCCAGAAGTTCAAAAAACACTTCGAGAAGTTCACAGAACACTTCCGAGAAGTTCACAGAACAGTTCCGATAAGTTCACAGAACACTTCCTAGATGTTCATATAACACTTTCGAGAAGTTCACAAAAACACTTCCGAGAAGTTCACAGAACACTTTCGAGAGGTTCACATAACACTTCGATAAGTTCACAGAACACTTCCGAGAAGTTCACAAAAACACTTTCGAGAAGTTCACAAAAACACTTTCGAGAAGTTCACAGAACACTTCGAGAAGTTCAAAGAACACTTCCGAGAAGTTCACAGAACACTTCGAAAATTTCACAGAAAATTTCGAGAATAAGTTCACATAACACTTCCAAAAAGTTTGGCAAATTAATATAAGATCCGGAAGCTTCAGAGAAGTTTACAGAACTGCCAAGAATTTCAAGAAACTTTAGACAAGTTGACAGATCTTCATAGAATTCTGGTGAACCTTATAGAGTTTTTGGCAAATTAAGTTCCTGAAGCTTCCGCGATGCTCCCGCAATTTCCTAAAAGTTCATGGAATTTCCAAGATGTTCACTGATCTCCAGAATTGTGGAGAACCTTATAGAATTTTTGGCAAATCAATGTAAGTTCCGAAGCTTCAGAGAAGTTCACAAAACTTTCGGAAAGTTCCAAGATCTTCATAGAATTCTAGAAAATCAGAGAATTCTCCCGGAAGCTTCCGAAAAGTTAACAGATTTCTTTAGAGTTATGGAAGAGTTAATGGAATTTTTGGTAAGTTAATAGAAGATCCCAGTGCTTCAGAGATGTTCAGAGAAAATTTCACAGAACTCCCGAGCAGTTCACAAAATTTCCGGGTAGTTCACTAAACTGCCGAGAAGTTCACGAAACATCCAAAAAGTTCACAGATCTTCATAGAATACTTTCGGAAAATTAACATAAGTACCCGGACCTTCCGAGAAGTTCATGGAAACCTCAATAAGATTAAGAAACTCCCGAAAAGATTTCGGAAGTTTACAGCATTGTGGAGAACCTTACAGAATTTTTGGCAAAGTAGTTCCCGGAACTTTCAAAAAGTTCACGGAAATCCCGAAAACTGCATGGAATTTCTGAGAAGTTCAAACATTTACATTTAATTCTGCAGAACCATATAGAATTTTTGACACATTAATAGAAGTTCCTGGAGTGAAGTTACCGGAGAGAAGTTTACAAACTTGCGAGAAGTTAACGGAGCTTACGATCTTTATGGAATTTTAGAGAATCTTATAGAATATTTAGAAGCTTAATAGAAGTTCCAGGGGCTTCTGAGAAGTTCATGGAACTCCGTAAAAGTTCACGGAACTCCCAAGAAGTTCATAGAATTCCAGAGAAGTTCACAGAGCTGCAAAGAATTCTGAAGGACATTTTAGATTTTTTTGGAAAATTAATAGAGGTTCCCGTAGCTTCAGAGAAGTTTACGAAACTTCCACGAAAGTCACGGAACTCCCGAGAAGTTCACGGATCTTCCGATTAGTTCAAGGATCTTCATAGAATTCTAGAGAACCTTTTATAATTTTGGCAGATTAATAGAAGTGGTACAGGTATCGAAAGCTTTCAATTAATAACTTTGGAAGTGCATCTAAAACACTACGTTGAGAGCATTCAATAAGGTAATGTGCGATTAGCAATAAGCTTGAAATACAAGAAAGAAGAAGATCAATAGAAGTTCCCGAAGTTTTCGAGTTCACAAAAATCCCAAAAAGTTCATGGATCCCCCCAAAAGATCATGGAATTTCCACGGAACTTCCGAGAAGATCCATAGATCTCCATAGAACTGCGGAACAACTTATAGAATTTTTGGCAAATCAATAGACGTTTCACGCTTCCGGCGTTCACAATAGAAGCACCGACAAACCGACATGAATGACCATAGCAAAAACAATAAAATTTCTGACCAAAGCACACTACTGACATCTGGCCCGTGTTCGCGGGAAATATTTAGCTAAACCACAGACAAACAGACGTAACTCTTCATTGTGTATCTTCGTACATGCATTTAACGGTTGATTTGAATATTATCAGTTCCGCGAACTACTCGCCGCAGCGCTGGCATCGGATCACTTTGACGTTTCTATATATTCTATAGAACTTTTATGCAATATTGTTTACGAGTTAGCGAGCAAGCTTGTTTTCCGCGAGAAGCCAGATAGATGTCGCTACTGAGGTTATATGTTTTGAGATACTATGTTTTCAAGAACAAGTTTTTCAAAGAGTTACGTCTGTTTGTCTGTGGCTAAACCATGAACCCCCATGCAAAAGTTATGAATTGGTTCGTGTCTGATCTATTATGGACAAATTATTTTTATCTAGATAAAAAAATCCTATAGATTTGACAGTTCGGTTCACTGCACATTTAATTCGGCCGTTAACGATTTTCGGGCATTAGTCAGAATTAAGTGTCATGTCGGTTTGTCGGTGATAGAAGCATAGAGGTAACTCTAAGACTAGAAGGTCCTGAAGAAACGTGCTCAACTTTTTGGCTCAGCTCTGGTACTATCTTAGGTCCCAAGCTAATCGATGCACCCCTCGAAACATAGGAAAATCCATGAACCCCTCATTTTATCTGTAAAACTTTCATAGCGAATCAAAACAAAGTACTAGAATTTTGACTAGAATGGGGTACGTTAATCGATTTGCTTGGGACCAATAGACTAGTCAAATAGTGAGCCAATTTAAAATCGTTAGTTTCCACTGGTTGATAGAAGCTCACATATCTTTTCAGAATTCTAGAGAAGTTCATGGAATTCCCCAAAAGATCATGGAATTTCCACGAAGTTGACGGAGCTTGCGAGAAGATCCATAGATCTGCATAGAAAAACGGAACACCTTATATAATTTTTGGCAAATCAATAGAGGTTCACAGATCTTTTCATAATTCTAGAGAACTTTATAGAACTTTTGGTCAATTAGTAGAAGCTTCGACGGATTTCACGGAACCTCATACAAGTTTGCGGAACTTTAGAGAAGTTAACGAAACTTCCGAGAAATTCAGCAAACTTAAGAGGAGTTCATTAAACTTCCGAGTAGGATTACACTACGAATTCTTGTATAGGATGTTCCAAAGAAAGATCCTCCAGATAAAATTATGGCAAATTAATAGAAGTTCTCAGAAATTCCGAGAAATTTCCAAAAATTTCACGGAACTTCATAGAAGTTTGCGGAACTTTCGTGAAGTTAATGAAACTTCCGAGAAGTTCACAACAAACATCCAAGAAGGATTGCTCTACGAATTTTTCCAGAGATATATCCTCCAGGAACGCCCAGGATCCAGGAGAATTCTTTTTGGAGCACCGATTAATGTCTCCAGATTTCTACAAGAGTTCCTCCAGAAAGCTCAGGAGTAGCGTTGGAAAAATTTGCGATATTTCACGAAGTTCACCGAGGGAAAAGTTCGCCAGTCATAGTGATTTTTGGTGAACTAACACTGCTAAGGAGGATTCCACCATAAATACCAGGATTCCTGAAGGAACCCCAGGAGGCAATCTTATGAGAATTCCTCTATGAGTCTATTCCTCGGGTATTCCTCAAGGCATCCCAGGGTTATTTCTCCAGGAAGCCCATGAACATTGCTTAAGAAATCACAGGAGGATTTGTCCAGGAATCTCTGAAAGATTTCGATTGGAAATTCCTCTAGAAATTGCAGGAGTGTTCCTTCAGAAATCCCAAGACGATTCTTTCAGTAAACGCAAGAACATTCCTGCATTTATCCCAGAGGATTCTGCCATATATCGCAGTAGAATCATAGAGGTAACTCTAAGACCACTGGGTCCCGAAGAAAATCATTATTATTTTTGGCTCACTCAGTACCAGAACAACGGTCCCAAGCAGTCCCAAGCTATTTCACTCACCCCTGCATGTTCTGCATGAATCCACACACCCCTGATGTTATCTGTCAAACTTTCATAGCGAATCAAAACAAACATAGTGTAGTAATAGACTTTCAACTAGAATAGGGTACGTTAATCGTTTGCTTGGGACCAATAGGCTACTAAAGTGGTGAGCCAATTTAAAATCGTTAGTTTCGT